TAGCTTATAATATGGTGAACATAAACCTTGCTATGAGCCCACACGTGGGAGCAGCACTGGAGGACAAACCCCAGCTCGGGCAATGGTGTTTTCCTTTAGTGAAGGGCAAAGAGATTTTTCTTCCTCTCTACAATTATCCCTAAAGCTGTGTCTGGTTGAACTACACAACTCTAATGTGCCCTTTTCCCAGCAGCTCCTGTGACCTTGGCCCCTGGCTTATCTTTCAGTGCATTTCTCAGCAAGCCCAGCAAGGCTCTAGGGAGGGAATAACGATCAAAGTGCGAAAACCAGAGCAAACTAGTTTTGCATTTACAGTGGTGGGTCAGGACCAGCTGTTTATTCTGAGCTGGGGGGGATCGGGCTTGTTGCAAGGAGGCTTCCTGCAAGCAAAACCCCATCCACAGCCATTAATTAGCAAATAATAATAACCACTAATAATACAACACAATTTCTTTTTCCCAGGGTGTTTTCTTGTCCGTCTTCTGGCCTGAAACATCTGTGCTGTCCAAAATATTTTTGTGGTACCAATAATCCAAGGAGTTTCTCAAATAAAGGAAGCTGGGACAAAACCTCTGGGACTTGAATTCTCACAAAGCATAGACTGTTTGGGAGCTTGGGTTATTCTGCTAAGAATTCATTAGGTCATCTGTTGCTCAAAAAAAAAAATGAAAGCTTGATATAATTATGTCAACTCCTCAGCTGAGATTAAATAAAATAAGGCTGAGAATTGGGGTCTTATTGCTCCCTCACTAATTGCTGGAGCTCTCCTGCACAAACAGCTTTAAAATGAACATTTTGAGGACTGGGATGGGAATGAAGTTTTGAACAATTCTTCATGGCAGCTGTTTTGTATCTAAGCCTTATGTGCTGTTTTCAGGGGATGATGAGAAAAGCAGATGGAGGAGGCCACAGATCTTTTTTCTGGAGAACAAAGGAGGTTGGTGTTCCTTGAAAAATGGGGAGAAGAAAATAAAGGGAAATGAAATAACAATAGTAAACCTGAATACTATTTTAATTCCAGAAATAGGCTGATTCAGGCAGAACTGGCTGCAAACACTTTTCCTGTATTTCTCCTCAGTTCCGGGAATAGAGAAGAGTGATTTACATCTTGAAATAAGTGATGGTGAGGAACCGTGCCTGGACTGAGCAGAGCTCCTGCCTCTCCACCGCAGAACCAACCCAGCAAGGGAGAGGCAACAATGCTGCTGTCCTCCAGCCCTTTGAATTATTGATCTTATATATATTAATTACAGACACTTCTCGGGGTCAGTAGGTAGAGCATGAAGGTGTGCCGAGTGGGGTGTCGCAGGAGTTGAATTTCAAGAGAGGAGGATTTGAGAAGGGAAATGGTTTAATCAACACCAGCTTAGTTAAATCCTGATAAGGGCACAGAACACAGATCTCAGACAAACTGAGATAGGAAACCTCTGGTGGAGGAGGTACCCACTTTTCATAAAAAGCCACCACATCCAGGAGCTGTAAATGAGATCTTTTCAGTCTTTATCAGTACAAGTAATCAAGCAGAGGGAAGGTATGTCAGCCTATGTGAGGGTGTCCCTTTGGGGTGGGATTGGAGGTTAATCGTAGAATCATAAAATGGTTTGGGTTGGGAGGGACATTAAAGACCATCTAGTTCCAAGCCCCTGCCCCGGGCAGAGCCCCCTTCCCCCAGCCCAGGGGGCTCCCAGCCCCGTCCAACCTGGCCTTGAACCCTTCCAGGGAGGGGGCAGCCACAGCTGCTCTGGGCACCCTGGGCCAGCGCCTCACCCCCTGCACAGGGAAGGATTTCTGCCTCAGATCTCACCTAAATCTGCCCTCTCTCAGCTTAAAACCGTCACCCCTCGTCCTACCCCCACCCCCTGACCCAGAGTCCCTCCCCACCTTCCCTGTCCCCCCTTTAAGCCCTGGGAGGCTGCTCAAAGGGCTCCCCGGAGCCTTCTCTTCTCCAAACTGAACAACTCCAATGTAAGACCCGTGGGTGTATCTTCATTCTCCCTGTCCCTGCCTTTGCCTTCTGTGCCGTGGATGATGTGGCTGCAGCACTTGCTGGTGAAGACTGTGGCAAAAAAAGTCATTATCTCAGCCTTCTTCATATCCTGGGTAACCAGGTCTTCCATTTCATTCTGGAGAGGGGCCACAATTTCCCTAGTCTTCCTTTTATCTCTGACGTACCTATAGAAGCTTTTCTTGTTGCCCTTGACATCACTGCCCAGATTAAAGTCTATCAGGGCTTTGGCATTCCTAACCCGATCCCTGGCTGCTCAGACAATTTCTCAATATTCCTCCCAGGCTGTCCGTCCTTGCTTCCACCCTCAGCAGGCTTCCTTTTGTGTTTGAGCTTGTCCACAAGCTCCTTGTTCATCCATGCAGGACTCCTGGCATTCTTACCCGACTTCCCCTTTGAAAGGGTGCATCACTCCAGGGCTTGGAGGAGGTCATCCTTGACTATCAACCAGCTTTCTTGGGCCCCTCTTCCCTCCAGGGCTTTATCTCATGGTACTCTACCCAGCAGATCCCTGAAGAAGCCAAAGCCTGCTCTCCTGAAGTCCAGGGTAACGAGCTTGCTGCGCACCCTCCTCACTGCCCTCAGGATCTTGAACTCCACTGTTCATGGTCACTGCAGCCAAGGCTGCCCCTGAGCTTCACATGCGCCACCAGCTCCTCCTTGTTGGTGAGAACAAGGTCCAGCACAGCTCCTCTCCTCGTTGGCTCCTCCATCACTTGGAGAAGGAAGTTATCATCAACACATTCCAGGAACATCCTGGATTGCTTATGCCCTGCTGTGTTGTCCCTCTAACAGATGTGGGGCTCCTGGCTGTATCACTGGTGCCCACGTGAAACAACAGCAGTGGATAATAGTCAGCGGAGTATACGAGGCTTGGTAGCCTCTCGGTGACAGCCCTGCTACAAGCCCCCCAGTAAGCAGCACCCCTCTTTAGAGAGTGTCAGGCCAGCAGATGGTGCCTCCGTACCCCTCAGAAGAAATTTGCCTACTACTGTCACCCATCGCCTTTTCTTAGTTGTGCCAGTTGTTACACGGGGCTGCCCAGCTTCTCTCCTGGTGTGACGGGTCTTTCCTCTTCCATCTGCACTGAGGTGAAGCAGTTCTGCAAAGGCACCTCAGGCTTCAGAAGTCTCTTCCTCCTGCAGGTCCTCACCATAGCAAGCTTCCGTTATTCTGTATTATTGGTCCTCCTCGCTTCTGCGTGTGCCGGTGGGGGAGGTTTCGGCAGTTTGGCCGTGGGCTGCAGGTCCGCTGCAGACTGCGCTTGGAACCAGCTATCACCTAGCTTCCTTCTCAGCCTCCCTGCCCGCCACGCAGCCTCCTCACCACCTCCTGCAGCTCAGCTGCCGCCTGCAAGAGGTCTTCCCTCCGGGCACAGCTTCTGCAGGCAGGTCGGCTGCCTGCCCCTGCCCCAGGAGAAGGGTCCGGGTGCTCCCCGCAGCAGCTCCGTCTGGCTGGAGGCATCGGACCAGCGCTGGTGTGGATGTCCCGGCCGGAGCTGCAGCCTTCGCTCTCCTACGAGTGCCCGCCAGGCACCCTGCCCCGGGGGCCAGGCAGGATGAGTGCCCTTGGCCTGCGCAGAACGGGCACCGCACGGTGCCCCGCGGATGGGTTCTGCAAACCTTGGCCAGGGGGACGACCCTCCATTAATCATAAACCATGACCTCGCTTTGGGTGAAGAATCCAGCTTGTCCTCTATTTTTTTTTTTTTTTTTTTTTCCTAAAAAATAAAGTGCCCTTCAGTTGGTTTAGGACAATTTTCTGGATTATACGTTCATGATTAACTCAGACATGCAACTGCTCACATCTTTAATCCATCTACCTCCCAGGCAGGGAACAGATACTGCAGTGGTGAGCACATGTATTTATAATATGCATTATTTTGGGGTGAATTCCTCTGTTATTCATTACTTACCTGTGTGCTTATTTATTATGTTATTTATTGTGACCCAGCTACAAGAAATAACTTTAGGAAGCAGAGCAAACTGAACTTGTCTCATTTGTTTGCAAACCTATATAATTTTTTAACTAGTGGATCAGCTGAACAAATATTACTGCATTTATGTTACTTACCGCTTAAAGTACATAATCCCTTTGCTCTTCTGCACCACATAGTGGGTATTATTTTATTTAAAATGTAGAACTACTGTTGAGAGTGGCTTATAAAATGAGGCAGACTTTCCCCTTTTAATTATCTCAGAGTTTCATGACTGTAAGCCTTCAAATTATACCCAGCTGTGAGCAGAAGAGTTGTGGATGTATTTTCTGATTGAACCCCAAGTACCAACATCACTTTGCCCCCTTGCCTCTCCCCACCACCAACCTTCCTCTGACCACAAAATACTCCGTTTTGAAGCTGATTTTTGCAGATGATGCCACAGAATAGTTTCCAGATGGCCTGAGGGCATCCCTGGGCATCGGGGTTCTTGCAAAAATACTACTTTGGGTTTCCGTTCCCCAAATCCCTTTTGCAAAAAGCCTTTGCAATGCTGACCTCTGCAGGCAAATACTGCATAAAGCCAGCTGGCTCTAGGCAGCACTAACCTAAATAATGCATAAACCAGGTACTTCACACATTATTGCTGGCTGTGGGTAGCAAGAGCCTTTTAATAATGCATAAAAATGGGGCATTTCTCTGTTGGTTAGCAAACAGAGAGTATTTTGGTGAGGGAATTACTGGGAAATATTCATTTGCTTGGAAGGGGCTCAACTGCTACCTCCTGTATAGGTTTTGTAAATAATTTGCTGCTTAGACAAAGCACTTAGAAATCAGGGGATGAAGGATATGAATGAAAAACTGGCATTTCACGCCATAAAGCCATTGCTGCTATAAACTGGGAGGCAAAAGCTCTGCCTGGGCATGGGGGGGGGACAAGATCCAGAAACTACCTGCAGCACACCCCCCCTTAAACTGCAGCTTTGCCCCTGAGACCCTACCTGTAATTAAGCTCTAACAGCACCCTGAGGGCCAGGAAATAAAGCAAGCAGTGGCGGGTTTGGCTGGAGAGGACTTTAATATGCCCATTGCCCGGGGGTCCCGAGTGTGGGGAAGCATCGTGGGGCAGCAGGCGGGTGTCCTTCCCTGCAGGGTCTGTGGGGGGTGTACCAGCGGTTAGCGGGAGCTGCGGGGAACCTTCCCCTGCGCCCTGGATCAGCTGGGCTCCAGGAGCTTCCCTGACGGGTGCTCAGACCCCAAAGGCGGCTGAGGAAGAGAAGTCAGAGGGAACCGGAGCCCCATGGCGCATGGAGGCGCATGCCCCGCTCCTGGGAAGGAAGCTCAGACCCTGAAGGAGACCGAGGAAGAAACGTCAGAGGGATCCAGAGTCCTGCGAGACGTCGGAGGGACATGGAGCCCTGCAATGCTTGGGCACAAGTTTGATGGGAGCTCCTGAGGTGCAGGGCAGGATGCTGCACCCAGCAGACCCCCCGTCCTAGAGCTTGAGTGCCGTGACACGGGGAATGTGGAAAGGGCAGGTCTCCTCTGAACCTGTAGAGCTGCAGAAGAAGGAGAAAACGCTGGGGGGTCGAGGAGGATCCCACATCTCCCCTCCCTGTGTCCTCCCACCCTGTGCCCGCCGCTTACATGAGCCGGTTGCGGATGGGGCGGAAGTGTTTGGTGAGCCTGATGGCGAAGATGATGTTGGGGATGAGGAAGAAGGTGCAGCATCCCAGGCTGAACCAGAAAGCATTCTGCAAGGAGAGAGGATGGGGGTCTCTGCTGAGCTGCGCGGGGAAAGGCAGCCCCTAGGCTCTGGGGGGGTTTGGGGAGGCTTGCAGTGGCTGGTCCTGGCTTCTTTTGGCCCCAGCTGGCCTGAATTCATGCTGGTTGATGGTGGGATGCTGTACCATGTAGGTCCCTGCCAGACCCCCACGGAGGGGCAGGGACGGGATCCTTACCCAGGGGTCAGCGATGCGGTCGCACAGAATCACCCGCCCGTTGTCCAGGGCAGTGGCGAGCGGCTGGCACGAAGCCACATCCTCCCTCAGCTGGAACAAGAAGCAGAGACAAGGCATAAACCCACTCCTGTCTCGGGGGGGGGGGGATGCATTTTGCTGCCTTGGCTCAGCGAGGGGCTTGTACGCAGCATCCACGGGGGGTCCTGGCCCCAAAGAACCCCCCCCCTGTAACAAAGGCAAGCACCTACCGTCTGCCCGACCCAGTTCAGGTACTGCGTGAAGTACCGCAGCTCCTTTCTCGTGAAGCAGCCGATCTCCTGGGCAGAGGAAAGGCAGCATAGAGGGCAGGTGCCACGCTTCCCAACCCACCTCCAGCCCTGCTCCAGCTCTGGGCTAATGCTGGGCTTGGAAATGAGGGTTGAAGGCTTCAGGTGCTCCTTCTCCTCTTGCAGCGCCCCATTCTCACTTTTTCTTGCTGGCTGTGGGGAGCTGAGTACTGCTCCAAGGGCTAATCCAGCCCTGGCTTACCTGCCGGAGGATCTGCTGGGCTTGCACAGGCAGCCGGGCTTCCACTGAGGCCGTGGTGGCCAGTGTCGTCTTCACCCGTTCCTGGGGAAGGATGGGAAGGGCAGAGTATCCTTAGAGCAGTGAGCAGCAGGACAGATGCCCTAGGGATGTCAGGAGCAGGGTGTGCAGCTCCATGCACTTGCTGAGCTTCAAATTGGGTTTGATTGCTGGAGGGCAGGGAAAGGGACACCTGCCCCAAGCAGAAAAACCTTCTTGCAGGGAGCAGGAGAGATTAGACACCATGGGATGGCTCTGCCAGGGACACTGAAATGCTGGGAGTGCTGCAGGGGGATTTCTGATTTACAGCAGCAAATCTTAAGTATTAAAGGAGACCAATCCACCCTGTGTGGCATTTTTCCTGGCTCTCCCATCACCCTGTAACTGGCTTTTTGGGGCGCTGGCAGGCAGGATCCATAGGGCACCACATATACTTTGGAGCTGGAAGAAACCGCGCAGGTACCTGGAGATGTGGCGCCAAGCGGGAGAGGAACTGGACGCTTTCCCCCAGCTTTGCCTGCGGGACAGGGAGGTGAGAATGGTGTAAAAGCCCCATTGCCCATTTCACGGGGATACCACTGGGCAAACGCCGGCGGCACTGTGACCCACCATCCCAGCACAGACTCACCACCAAAGCTTCCTGCGATTGCACCGTGGAGTTTTGCATCTGCCACAGGGCCCGGGCCTCAGCGGCCAGCCACTCTGCCACCGTGCCGTTCCTCTGCGGGGGGACAGCGGGGTGAGGACATCCCCACGGGCATGCAGGCAGCCCCCGCCGCCCACCCCGCCGCTCACCTGCATTTTCTGCAGCCCCTCGAGGCTCCTCGCCAAGCCAGGGAGGCTGGTCTGCACCACGGGGTTTTTCATCTGGGGGAATACGGAGTTGACAGCTGCCCAAAATCCAACCCTGGGAGCCGGCCCTGGAGTGGCTGGGCCACATCCTGCCCTACTGCAGTGGAGACCAGCTCCCCATCAGCATCCCCTCACCTCCTCCTGGAAACGCCTGTAGTCCACCTCGTCCACGCCGCTGCGGGCGAAGGTCTCCAGGTCCTGCCTGCCCTCGCTGCGGAGGAGCCGCACGTCGCCCAGGCGCGCCGTGAAGTCGCCCAGGCGTTTTTGGAAATCAGCCGTGTACTGTGGGGGGTGAGACGCCGGGGATGCTGTGGGGTTGGGGCCAGGCACCTCCATCCCAGTAACCCCAGTAAATCTTGTCCATCCTTGCACCGTTACCAGAAGCTCTGGCCGCAGCCAGCCCTCACCTTGGGGGTTTTTAGGTGCTCATCCAGGTCGTAAGACCTTTCGAGCTGCAGCACCTCCCACAGCCCTGCACCGCTCTTGCAATCCCTGGAAGGCAAAGGGACGTGGGTGGCGTGACCCCAAATTAGCCCTCCGATGTATAGGGACAGAGGTGGGCTCCTGTGGTACCCACCGGTACATGGCACTGAGGTTGGAGTCCCTCCTGAGGTTGAGATGGCGGGTGAGATTCATGGATGGAGGAAGGTTCCCAGGGGTGTCGATGAACTAGACCAAACAGGAGGAAAAAGGGGGTCAGGGTCAGGTGCAGGCATTCCCCACAATTATTTTGGGGATGCTCTGCCCTCTCTGGTGCATTTTGGGGTACCCCATCCCAGCCAGAGCTAATCTTGTCTTTATTCGTACGTTCCCTATTGCAGAGCCTCACCGGTCAGTGTTTGGAGGGAAAGCAGCAGGACCTGCCTGTCTGTGCATGGCCACAGGACAAGCCCTGATCCCATTCCTGACCCTTCTCTCAGCCCCATCACAATGGGCTGCTGGCCCCAAGAACCTCAGGGAACCCCAAGGACTGGAGGACAGGGGTCCTGCAGGTAGGTGCATCGTTGCCGTGAGTGAATTCATAGAATCACAGGCTGGTTTGGGTTGGGAGGGACATTAAAGCTCATCTAGTTCCAACCCCCTGCCCCGGGCAGGGCCCCCTTCCCCCAGCCCAGGGGGCTCCCAGCCCCGTCCAACCTGGCCTTGAACCCTTCCAGGGAGGGGGCAGCCACAGCTGCTCTGGGCACCCTGGGCCAGCGCCTCACCCCCCGCACAGGGAAGGATTTCTGCCTTAGATCTCACCTAAATCTGCCCTCTCTCAGCTTAAAACCATTATCCCTCATCCTTATCCAGAGTCCCTCCCCACCTTTCCTGTCCCCCCTTTAAGCCCTGGGAGGCCGCTTGAAGGGCTCCCCGGAGCCTTCTCTTCTCCAGGCTGAACCCCCCCAACTCTCTCAGCCCGGCCTCCCAGGGGAGCTGCTCCAGCCCCCCCAGCATCTCCGTGGCCTCCTCTGGCCCCGCTCGAGCAGCTCCGGGTCCTTCTGCTGTTGGGGGCCCCCGAGCTGGCCCCAGCACTGCAGGGGAATGTCATGAGAATGGAGTAGAGGGGAACAATTAACAGCACAAGCGCACTTTCCTGCTGCTGATGCAAATCCAAGGACCTAATTCTAAACTTAATATTCTGGTTTAGGATGGGGCTTTTCTGGATGGGGTGGTGGGGGGACACTTGGAGGCATGGTGCATGCAAGCAGAGATTTGTGGGGCGACGAGCAGTTGCATGGCCACCCACCTTATAAATCTCCTGGTTGACCCAATTCCTGCAAACCAGCGTCTGGATGTTGCCCCCAACCAGGAAAGTGGCGAAAACCAGGAGGATGAGGAGCCAGGAGAACAGGAAAGCCAGGCCCACGCCGCTGAAAGAGGGAGAGGAGGTGCCGGTGGGGGCTTTGCAGACCCAAGCGGGCAAGGAAGGCTTGTGGGGACCTGCCTGGCCGGCTGCAGCCCCACGGCTCCCTCCCGCGCCCGGGCACGCCGGCTGCCTGGGAAGGGCCTGTGGGAGTGGGGTGTGCCGGGCAGCGGGGCTGGGGTGCGGGACCTGCCAGCTCCCAGGGAGGAGCAGCTTCTCCTAAACCCGCCGGCACAGGCGGCGCCTTCAAAACCCTTTCTGTTCAGCCAGCTCCTCTCTTGGCTTTACCCCTCTGGTTTTTTGTTTTTTTTTTTTTGGGGGGGGGTGGTACAGCCCCCCAAAGCACCCGGAGAGGTGCTTACATCAGGAGAAACTTGGCGCCGGCTTCTCCTCGGCACTCATAGTCGCTCGGGTCCTCCCGCTTGGAGAGCCCATACGCCCCCAGGGCCATCCCTGTTATGTTGCAGGCGAGGATGAGGAGGATGATGGAGCACAGCACCGTGCCCGCAATCCACCTGGAGGAAAGAGCAGCAGGGCACAGCCTCGAGATATGGGGCTGATACACCAGTAGAGCTTGAGGGGGGGGGGGGGCAGGGCTCAGCACCCATCTCTGCCATACCCGCTGCACCCTTTCATGCTCCCCGGTGTCACCTGTAGTGCTCGAAGCGCTCCACCTCCCGGAGGTACGGCTGGCTCCTGTCCTCCGCCTTCACCAGGGCTTCGCTGACGGGCTGGGTGTAGTCAGGGAGGGGGAAGCCGTCGGCGATGGACTGCACCTTCTCCGTCACACGGGCCATCTCGTCCCGCAGATCTGCGGGGCCAAGGCCATGCTGAAGGGGCGGATTGGTCCCTGTGTCCCACCCTATGTCTCCAAACCGGGAATCCTTCCATGGAGGGTGTCCCCGCTCGGTCAGGATGTCCCACTCACCCTGGATGACCTGTGCCATCCTCTCCACAGCCAGCTCCGGGATGGAGTTGAAAGTGCCATTGCCCTGCGAGGAAAGAGGGGTGCTGAATGTCCTGGCTGGGGCTGCCCACAAGCGCCGGACCCCCCTGCTTCACCCCGACCCCCTCAACCTGGCGAATCATCTCCGCAAAGTCACTTCGGGGCAGACCAGCCAGCGCCTTCAAAACCTTCTCTGCTGACGGCACCTTGGAGTGGAAGAAACAACTTGTGAGCCTCGGGGCTGCCGGAGGCGGGGTGGCGGTGATGGTGGGGGACCAGCACCCTGTCCCACCTTGCTGTAGTCAGCACCCAGCTCCAGGCTCTGTGCCCTGCCCAGGACGCTGGCGCAGGAGGTGCAGCGCGGGTCGTCCAGCAGCGCGACCACGCGCCGACGCCGTTCCCGCAGCGCCGGCTCCAGCTCGGCCCGCGCCGCCGCCAGCGCCCGCGCCGTCTTGTCAAGAATCTGTAAATGGTGCAGCGAGGTCTGTAGGTCTTAAAGAGAAAGCCCAGGGCTAGTTCATGCTGGTCCACTCAGCCGCCCCAGCTCTCCGGCGAGGCTTCGGCACCGGCAGCGGGGAGAGCCGCGCTCGGCCGTACCTCCAGCCCTGTCCTGCAGGTCTGCCAGCGCCGCGTAGGTCATCGCCTTCAGCTGCGTGTGGATGGAGAGCCCCACGCTCCGGCTGAGCCCTGCACGGCATCGGGCACCCCGTCAGCATCTCATCCCAGTGGGAAGCTCAGGATGGGGCCCCACCAGCTCCCAGCGCGGTGCTTACCACCCAGGTCGGAGATTATCTGCTGCCGGGGCACCTCAAACTGGTCTACCACCATCTGCACCCCCTGCCAGGAGAGAGGAGCCGGTCAGCCGGGGGTGGCATGCCAGGAAGGGAGGAAGCCCCGCGTTGCCATTCAAAATACATTTTTAATGCAGCCGCGCCATCTCCTCTCGCCTCTCAAACTATGCCGCAAGGGAAACACGGCCATCCCTGGGCTGTGCCCCACACCGCGGGGGAGGCCGCTCGGGGACCCACCTGGGGGACGTTGGCGATGTGCTGCCGCAGCGTGCGCAGGGTGACCGGCACGGCCCCCAGCCCCGGCTCCATCTGCCCCTTCACCCGCTGGCTGGTGACGAAGGCGCAGATGACGCTGGTCCTGCCGGAGACGAGCAGGGGGTGACGGGGCCGCCCGGCAGAGCCTCCCGACCCCATAGGACACCCCGGTTCCCCCCACCCGGGGTGAAAGGGCGGGTTTGGGGGGTCATTTGGGGGACTCACAGGATGATGAGGGAGGTGAGGGTGAGGCAGGCTAACAGGCAGTGGCGGCGGCAGCCCAGCGAGCGCCGGTGGGCACGCAGGCGACCCCCGCACCGCCGGCGGCTTCGGCAGTAGCAGAAGCACATCCCGGCCACCGGCACAGCCACAGTGAAGAGCAGGGCCACCACAGCACAGATGACATAGCCCAGCTCATACTGCACCACCTGTGTGATGGGAGAGCTGGGTCGGCACTGATGCACCCAGCTCGGGGTGCTTCCTGTGCTCTGGTGCCCCATCTCGGGTGGGTGGGATCCCCCACTCCACGTCCCAGCTCACCTGTGATGTCCGCACCGAGCCGGGGTCATTCAGGGCTGCCCTGAGCAGCTCTGCAAAAGAAACCACGGCACCAGTAAAAGGGGTCCCAGTCGATGCACCCCCAGCCCTCCCTCGGGCAGCATCCCCCTCTGCGAAGCGGCTCAGACACCCCGGACACGGGGATTACAGTTGGCTCCAGTCCTTTTCTGTGGAAAAGGACCGCAGGGATGGGGTCCTGGCTCAGGGCTCACCTGTGGGCAGAGGGTTTTGCTGGATGAGATCCAGGCAATGCCGGATGAGGCTGTAGAGGGGATCGAGCGAGCTGGGTACCCGGTGCAGCGCCGGCACCCGAATCTCAGCGTGCCTGTCGGTGAAGCGGAGGACGCCGCCGGGGCCAGCGGGATGGCATTGCTGGGTGCCGGCGGGACACAGCAGCGTCCAAGCCAGCAGCAACCCAGCCACCCGCATGGCTTTAGCGGCGAGCAGAGAGCCGGGGGGGGCTCTGTCAGCCTGCGAGCAGGCGGAGGAGCATGCCCGTCCCGGGATGGTTCTCTCCGGCTCAGCTCGCTGCTCCGGGAAACCTGCCTGACGGGTCGGCCGCCGCGCAAAGCCCAGACGCTGCCGTGGCTTGTTCCCCCGACGGGCTCCCCGGGGCGGCTGGGCTTGGCGGGGCTGCGTGGAGGCGTCTCCCAAACCATCCCGGGCCTGTTTCGCAACCCTCCCTGGCAGCCCTGAGTCACTGCTGCGGGATCCCCACCATCAAGGCTATTCCCAAAATGGGTGGCAAAGCCCCCTCCCGCCCCGGGGTTTTGGAGAGAGGGTCAGGTGGTGATGAACCCCACGTCCTCAGGCTGGAGGGTTGCTCATCCTCACTGCAGCCACCTTGGAAGGAGGGATCTGGGATTTGGGCATCATTTGGGGGGTAGAAAAGCCCTTGAGAGTGGATCCACAGCTGCAGCCAGGGTCCCCACAGGACAGGATCGCCCTTTGCCAAAGCATCTGGAGACTCGGGGTAACAATGGGCTGAGAAAGAGAAAGAAAAACAGGGGGGACACACAGAGAGGGACAGCAAGCCTCGGTTAGCAATATCTGCTTGCCAGCGAGGTGTGAGATGAGTTTTCCAGGCTCAGCCAGTCCCTGCCTCACACCCTGAGGCGGCCGCAACTCCTTCCCAGGGCCAGATCCTGCTCACCAGCATGGGCTGAGTGCTAATTACAGGGTTGGCTGGAAACGAGGGAGGTGCAACCTGATTTCCCTGGTGTAGGGGGAGCAGCCCCCGTGTACCTAAATGGCTGCGGGGCACCCCAAGAGCTGGGCCCCCTCCTCTGCCGGGCGAGTCGAGCCGGCCCTTCCCCGCCACCAGCTGCCGACGCCTCCATCCTCCCGGCGGTGATGCTAATCCATGTGGTTTTCCTCCTTCAGGAAAAGGGGGTTTTCTCCCAGCTGGAGATGCTGGCAGCATCTTTCCAGGCTGGGCACAGGGTGCTGCTCCCCACCACCCTCTTAGGAATGAGATGCCATAAACTGGAAAATCCTGCCCTGGTTTGACTGAGTCCCCAGACCGGGAGATAACTCCCAGGGCCAGGAAATTGTGGAGTCTGAAGAGCGATTCCATGCACGGTTGTCGTGGTTTGAGCTCAGAGGGCAACTGAGCACCACACAGCTGATCACTCCTCCCTTCCCTCCCAGTGATGAGAAGGGAAAAATAAGCCAGGCTTGAGATTGGAGATAGGACCAGGAGGGACAAATCACCCATTATGGTCACGGGCAAAAGGCAGACTTGTTAGGGGAAGAAAAAAAAGAACATACATTTATTACAGACACTAACAACACTTAACAGAGTAGGACAGTGAGAAGCATTGCCACATCTTGAGAACACCTTCCCCCCACCCCTCCCTCTTCCCGGGCTCAGCTCTGCTCCCGATATCTCTACCTCCTCCCCCAGTGGCGCAGGGGCAGGGAATGGGGGGTGCAGGCAGTGCTGCCACTTCTGCCATCTTCGGTGGGGGGAGCTGCTGGAACTTGTTCCCCCTGCTCCAGTGTCGTTCTCCTCTCACAGGAGACAGTCCTCCACAAACTTTCTCTGATGTGAGTCCCTCTCATGGGCTGCAGCGTTCCCCACACTGCTCCGTCGTGGGTCAACAGCTTTCTCCAACTGGAGTCCCTTCCCCGGGCTGCAGCCCTTCCCGAGCTGCTCCAACGTGGGACACCCCCACATGCTGCAATCCTCCCAGCACTGAACTACAACAGCGGGGGTTGCTTTTTCCCACAAGATCCCAGCTTCCTTCTGGCACAGCCACCTTAGTCGTCCATATGAGGCCCCTCAGAGGCCATAAATCAGTGTCTGCTCCACCATAGATCTTCATGGATGGCGGGGGGACCACCCTGCTGTCTCCCCACAGGATACAGGGGGGTCTCTGCTCTGGCACACCTCCCCCCTCCTTTCTTCCTCCGTTCCTCCACTGACCTTGGTGTTCACGCAGCTGCCGCAACTCCTCCTCACCAGTCCGGCTGCTCGTCACCATGTCCCTTCTTAAATACATTATCGCAGAGGCGCAGCTGAGTTGGGGCCAACTTGGAGCCACGGGAGCTTCGAGAAGCTTCTCACAGGGGGCCACTGCTGTCATCCCTTCCCCTGCTACCAAAAAAACCCCACAAGTCACTCAAACCCAGAACAATGGTACATGTATATGTGTATATGTATATGTGTCTGCATATGGCAAAGGCACATCGGCTCCTGCACCGCTACTGGGACGGTGATGGTGATGAGGGTGATGATTTCCCATCCCCACAATGGTTTCCCATGCCAAGTTTCACATCCCACTGATGATATTTTGGGGGGACGTGATTTTCCTGTCTGAGGGGAAGGGGTGGGGCTGGCACCGGTGCCCCTGCAATGCTGACACATGTGCTGCCCCGTTGGGGAGGTTGGGGTATTTTTGTGTTGTTTTTGTCCTCCTCCTTTCTGCCCCGAGGGACAACTTCTGCTCCCAGTACCGTACCAGTACTATGTGGCCATGATGGGGAGCCCATGGGGTGGCCCTTTGTGGGGGTCCCCAGGTGGTACTTGTGGGGGTTATTCCTGGTGGGAGGGGGATGATGGTACTGGAAGTGATGGTACTGGGGATCTGGTAGAGATGCCCCAGGGATGTTGGTACCCGGATGGGGCGGGAGATACTGGTACTGGGAGTGGATGGGCTGGGAATGTCTGTACTGAGGATGCTGGTACCCAGTCAGGGATACTGGTATCAGTGGTGGCACAGGGTGGGGATGCCAGTCCTGGGGATGTGATGCTGGTGCTGGGGTGAACCAGGGCACTGATGCTGGTACTGGGGTGGTGATGCTCGCACTGGTGTACTGGGAAGGTGACTTGTACTGGAGCGGTGATGCTTGTCCTGGTGTACTGGGAAGGTGGCTGGTTCTGGGGAAGTGATGCTCATACTGGTGTATTGGGAAGGTGACTGGTACCGGAGCAGTGATGCTCATACTGGTACTGGGAATGTGACTAGTACTGGGAAGGTGGCTAGTACTGGGGCAGTGATTCTTGTACTGGTACTGGGAAGGTGAGTGGTACTCGAAGGTGACTGGTATTGGGGCGGTGATGCTTATACTGGTGTACTGGGAAGGTGACTGATCCTAGGAAGGTAACTAGTACTGGGGTGGTGATTCTCGTGCTGGTCCTGGGGAGGTGAGTGGTACTGGGGTGGTGACCGGCACTGGGGTGGTGATGCTTGTGCTGGTACCGGGAAGGTGACCAGTACCGGGCCGGTGATGGCGGTGCCGCTTCCGGGGCGGTTGTACCCACTAGTGACCGCTAGGCGGCGCCACATCATCACCCCACGCAGCGAAGGGGGCGTGACCTGGCGCTCGGGGGCGTGGCCTCTCAGGTGGGCGGGGCGATGGCGTGAGTTAGCCCGCGTGGCCGGCGGGGTCAAGGCGGCGGAAGCGGAAGGTGATGTGTCGGGGTGGGCGCCATTGCCATCATGGTGGGGAAAGGGGCCTTCCGCGTCCCGGAGCGGTGAGTGCGTCTTCTCCTCCTGCTCCACACGCAGTTCTGGGGCTTCTTCCCGCCCCGGGGTTTTGCCGGGAGCCGCCGGGCCGGGCCCTGGCCGCGGCGGTGCTGCGTGTCCGGTTACACGTCGCAGTCCCCGGAGCTTAAAGTTTGGGGGGCTTCGTGGGGTGTGTGTGGGGGGTGATTTTGAGGGTCCCCGGGTCAGCAGTTTAACGCCTCGGTGCTGCGGGGTTTAGGTGGACCGACTACGTCCCGCTGGGCAGGAGGATGCCGGGCACCCGCTTCATCGCCTTCAAGGTCCCCCTGAAGAAGGTGAGTGGCCGCCGATGCTGTGGGGGGGCCCGTTTGGGTGGAAGGGGGCTGCGGGAAAGCGGCACTTTGTGGAGAATCAGTGAGCGCCATCCAAAAAATGAGTGTCAGCAGGTCGCTTTGTTTATTTACCCAAGTGAGTTGTAAGCTGTTGGAGGGAGCAGCACAGTGTGGTTGCTGCTCTTTCAGCGGTTGGAGCGTGTGACAGTGGCACTTACACCCTGGGGGTGACCAGGATTGGTTTTGGGGGGGTTGTTTCTGGGTGTTGGCAACGCTGCCCGGGCACCTCGGGTACAAAGTTTGTGCCCAGCGGCCGTGGGGCTGATGAATGCGGTGCCAGAGCCAAATTTGGGGAGCAGGGCCGGTGTGTGAGCTGCCTGGCTGGGCCTGGAGACACACAGCTGTGTGCTGTGGTGAGCTCTGCTCCGGGGTGGTTTGAGCACAGCAGTTACACTTAAAACAAATGCTGTGGATTGCATTCAGGGTAGGCTGCAGAGCTCGTGATGGGCAGCAGTACTGTTTGCTCACTCCCATTTTAGCTGCAATCCTGTCTTATAGTTTTCACCAAATAAAAACTTGAGTTTCTGGGCACGTTTGTCACGCTGCAGTGTTCTGCCACAGTAGAAAGCCTTCAGTCTCTCCTAAAAACCCTCAGCTGGGCGTGCTCCGATTTGATTCGGTATAACTTGTGTCTCAGTCTGTGTCTGCTTTTGCTTGTTGTTTTCATCTTTTTCTTCCAAGCGATGATCCTTGTGAGGTTCTGGAGCATGAACCTCTTCCCACCAGTCACAACACACCTGAGTTTAATGTTTTCTCTTAAACATTATGTCCTTTCAGAGCTTTGATCGAAACCTTCATCCAGAGGAGAGATTCTCACCTTATGACCTCATTAAGAAAATCAAGGAGCAGAAGGAAGAACTGGGCCTGATTATTGACCTGACATACACAACTCGCTACTACAGGCCAGAGGTCAGTCTTGTTTTTACTGTTGCGGAAAGGGAGTTCTGTGTAAGCCCTGATATTGCTGATAAAGTTGAAGATGTTTCTTTCAAGAAGATAACTTTAAAGATTGTGAGGCACTCAAATCTTCTGGCAGGAGGATGAGGTGAGGCACTGCAGGCCTGTCAGGATGGGGTCTTTGTCCTCGATCAAGTGCAAACCTGGGGTCTTCAACCCCTCATCGTGCAGATCCTATTTGTACCAAGCAGCACAAGTTTGGGGATCCCCTAAAGTTGGTGTTTATAGGCTTTCCTGCATGAAGAGCTCATCACAGCCAGCTTTGACTTGTGGTATCAAATGTGCGGAGAATTGCTTGGAAAGATGTTCCAGCCTCTGCTTCATCTTTCCCAGGGAGGAAAGAGCAAAGGCACAAGAAATAAAAATGCAAAGGGGCTGCTCTGGAATATTGATACTGTGTCAAGGGTGTGAAGCAGAAGTTTTCTTGCCTAAAACCGTGTATCTGCGCTTCTGGGCTTAGTTGAAAAGCTCAACTTCTTCTGGCTTATGGTCTGTGGTTCTCTAATTGATAAGAATCCTTGTGCTTTTTCTGGAAATTACTGACTGACTTTCTCGTAGGAGCTCCCAGCCACACTCTGCTATTCAAAGATCTTGACGATGGGACATGAAATACCAAACAAGCACACCATTTTTCAATTCAAATGCGTTGTAAAAAAATTTTTGAGAGACAACAAAGACAATGGTGAGTGTGGATTTCCCTTACGTTGCTGTTTTGGGGAAGGTTACTTCAGATTTGGAGGCCAGTGATGAACAGCATGATTTTCTTTTCCATCTCTTGGCATGTGAATGTCAGGGCAATAAGATCAGTTTGTTATGATAAAGGAATCCATGCTGGTGCTCTGATAATTTGGCAGTGAGTTGGGCTTTAGTTGAGTTTGAGACTTCATCTCTAGACTGGCTGTAAATACTGATCGCTTTTTGGTAGCAGTGTAGGCAGCAGCTGTTAGTGCTCAAGAGAAGTGGGATAGCTTTTAGATACATCTTTCCTGCACTGAGCTGTGTGACCATGCAGATGTCCTCAGAGAGTTAAATGAGTTAATGAGCGGAATCAGTGGTGCTAATTAGACATAAATATGGTGATGTTGTGTGGTCATTTCTGTTTACACTGGTGTCACTGTTGGAGGGCAAATGCAAATGGACTTGTTCTGGTGGGATTTTGGAGAAAAAGCACTCAAATGTAACCTGATTGTTGTGTGTTACAGATAAACTCATCGGAGTTCATTGCACGCATGGCTTGAACAGAACTGGTTACCTGGTTTGTAGGTGAGTTGTCCTTAGTAAACCAACTTAAGTGGTGGTATTGCCAGTTTGGTAGTCCAGGAGGGAATAGTGTTGATCCAGTAAAACAAAGGTTAAGTGATCTGCATAATCCAGACTTGCAAGGATTTTAAACTTTTCAGGTTTGAGAAGGTGGTTGTTAGGGAACACTTTTTATCCCTGATTTCAGCAGACCAAATGCTGATACTCCGTTCTGGCATGTAAAGAGAAGTGCTGAAAACTTCTCAGTTGCTCTTTCATTTTGAGTCATGGCTAGCCTGTCAATGTTTCCATGGTTAATTGTATAACCAGAGCTTTCTTGCTTATCTGTTCAGGTACCTGATTGATGTTGAAGGCATGGAGCCAAATACAGCAATAGAGTGTACGTATGTGTATGTTCTTGTTCGGATACAAAATATTTATCATGGGCTTGTGGTTTTAGATGGTCAAGAGGTTTGGGCTAGGTCCAGGGAGGTAACTGTGTTTTAGCTGTGCGTGTGTGTTTTCCTGTCGTGTGGAATGGGAGCTGGAGGAGGAGAGGCATTAGGGGTTTTCTGAGGTAATTGGAAAGAAGGAATTAAGTTTATGGTCTGACTGTGGAGCTGACCAGGGTTGAGTGAACATGGAGGGCACTGAGAATGGGTCAGACAGTGCTGCACTGCAGCTCTGCCAGTGTCACGGGCTGTGGTGTGAAGGGTGGTACGCTGAGTGGAATCACCCTCTGTGACCTGAGTGTGGAAGTATTTCTGAAGGGGTTAAAATCCTTCTAGAAGGATTAAGTGTTCCGCAGCCCCAAAGATGACTTGTACAGAGCATTGTTGTAACTCAGACCTGTCCCTCTCCAGTGTTCAACAGAGCTCGAGGGCATCCCATAGAGAGAACCAACTATATCCAAGATCTTCGGAAGAGAACTGTAAAGAAGTAAGTGGTTTTGTGTGCATAAGTGAGAGCGCGTGCCCAGGGAGAGCTGCTGTCAAGCAACAGATGTTAAACATGGTGTTCCTCGGAAGGGAGGTAGAATGGGCCAGTGGGTAAGGAGGAGGGTGGGCAGTTCGGAGACCTGGGTTCAAAGATCTCCACAGACCTGCTGCCTTTCCTTTTTTGGGGAACAGTGATGAAAAGGGGCAGTGGTTTTAAGTGTAAAAAAACCTGTTGTGATCACTTGGTGAATAGTTTCTTGACACATGTCAAGACATACAGAATTCTTTTTAAGGAACTGTGGACTAAAGAATTTGGGCTCGGGCCCCTTCAAAGAAAAAGCCAGCGCTACACCAAACACTAAAAAGCAGATGGCCAAACATCATCAGCATTGTTCGAACCAATCCCCCTTAGCAGTGCCCAGGTAGGTTTTTAATTCTTGCCTCTGCATGCTGTATAGTTGAGCAGATGGAACAAAAATTGCTGCTTTCTCATTTTTAACAAACTTAAACTTGGATTTTCACGAGCTGTGACACACAAGAGAGCACCCATTGCCTTGCCAGCTCTGTGGCAAGGAAAAAAACCTCCCTGAAACTTGTCTATAGCCTACATATCAACTTTGAAGTGTTCCTTGTGTCTGCAGCAGCAAAGCTAGTTGCTTCTGAATAATGTACTAGTGCCCGTAGATGCGGAATAACATAACTGACAGTGTTGGTGCTAGTTGCCAGCAGGGCTGAAACATTCTCAAGCTGTCTAGGGACAAGAGGATTTTGAATCAGGTGCCAAGTGAGGCAGCTCTTCCAGAGAGTGAAGTGATAACTCTGTTCCTAGGCTCCTCCTGTCTCAGCAGGGATGGCAGGGGAACAGTGAACACAGGTAAAGAGCTTCCTCTTGACCTGGGGCACATGTCCCAGAGGGGAGCTGCCCTCTGGCAGCTCCCAGCTGTGAGGGAGCTCTAAAACCATCTCAGGAGCAGATGTGTGGTAGCCAGCGCTTGCTTCTGCCAGAGCAGTGGCTCGTTCAGCCCCTCTCTTCAGGGGCATACAAAACGTTTCCTGCTGAAAACTTCCCCTACTCTAAGAAATCAGCATCTAGGAGAAAAGCTGCCAGCTGGGCGTTGTTCCTGGGTGTTGCATCATTCAGGCTGGAACAAAGGGGACTGGGTAAATCTGGAGGGGATTCACAACCAGCCTTTTTGGCTGCAGAGACTGAATGGGACCATGACTTCTCCTGGCACCAACTTCTGAATTTTTTCTTCCAGAAACTCCAGCAGCACTAAGAAGAACCGCAAGCGAGGCGCCAAGGCGCAGGCACCACACCAGGAGCTGGCTCACAAGCACAGGGCAACGGAGCAAAGGCGGCCGTGCACTTTGGCAGCGAGGAACTGTCGGGTTTCGTCGCCCACTAACGAGCGGCGCAATGGACTGTGCTTTCCCCACCAAAGTACCCACCTCTGCCTGCCCCAGGAAACGCAAGTGGCCAGGAAACGCAGGCGCCGGCATAAGAAATCTGCTGCAACGGAGTAGGGAACGCTGTGCACAACAAAAACCTGTCTGGGGCTGCGTCTTCACACCAGCAAAGCTCTAGGATGGGTCTCTCGCTGCTTGAACAAGCAGCTTTGCTGTAACCTCCACCAGCAGTCAGGAACTGCAAATGCAGGTGTTCTTAATCTTAACACAGCTTTTTTTTTTTTCCTCCCCCCTCCCTTGGTACTTTTATAAATCTCACAGACATTTTTTAATCCTATGTCATACTGAGGTCGTAGCTCTGCTCCCTGAGGGATGCAGAGAATAAATGTGGACTTAAACAGAGCTGGAATAACCCTAAAGAACCATCCTCAGGAGCATCCCTTTAACCTTCAACAAAAAGAGCTTTTCCTTGATTTCCTCAATACATAACAAGAAATAGGATTTGGCCTGAAACTAGATGATTTTTTTTTTTTCTTTTCACCCACTTTTGCTAAAGTAAATGCGGTGCGTAAACCTCGAGCCCCAGTTGTGGAGCAGTTATTTCCCCTGGCGGGGCCTGACTGGATCCGCGCTTCGGCTCTCAACCGAGCGACGGGTTGTTGGGCGGTGAGCTCAGGCCTCGCGACTGGACCGTTTTGGGGTGAGAACGGGTGTTTTTGGGGCGCTGGGGAGGGGGAGCTGCACCTTTAAGGCTCAGGGCCGGTGTCTGACGTCACGACGCTTGGCTTTCCGCTACGAGAAAGGAAGCGGCCGGGCGGAAGTGGGGTGTGGCTGCGGTGTGCCAGGATGTTACGGCGGGTCTTGATTGGCTGGTGAAAGCGAGGCGGGGCGGTGCCAGTTCTGCAGCAACCCGGAAGCGCTGAGGGGAGGTGGCGGCGCCCGCCCGGCGGCAGGTCAGGGCCGGGGGCTGCGGGGCGCCCCCGCCTCGCTTGGGGGGGTGTCTGCTATCGGGGTTCCCTTCGTGGCGCTGCGGCTGTGGGTATCTTTGCCCTCAGGAGGGAGGATCCGGTTTGGGGGTCTCCTTGCTCTTTTGTGGGGGGGCTGAGAGCCTTTGGGGGCTTTGATTGGAGGATCTTCTTTTTTTTAGAGGGGAAGGGCGGGGGGAGGCTGTTCTGGGGGGATCCTCTCCCTTTCAGGGGAAGGGCTGTGGGGCTTCTGGAGGGCTCTGATTTGTGTGTGTGTGTGTTTTCCTCTCGGCGGGCAGTGGCTGGAGGGGTCTGTAGTTTGGGGGCTAGCAGCTCGGGGAGGGGAGTTTAGATTCTTTTTTTATCTTGAAGGACGCTGTGGGAATTAGAGAGGGAGCTCTGGGCTGGGGGTACCGGGAGTTACAGTGTGTGAGTGGTGTCTATTGTGGGATAGAAGGGCTGTGGAACTTGGTGGAGGGGGCTTTGGTCTGGGGAGGTGTCTGAGAGCTCTGACTTAGGGGGAGCAACTGAACCCGTTCCCCAGGCAGAAGCACCAGGGAGAAGAAGAAGCTGTAGGCCACTCTGAGCTGTGGCTCTGTCACACCCCATAAGTGAGCGCTTTGGCACGGCAGCCCCTGGCAGGACAGAATCTCACAGCTTTTATTTAGGGCAAGAGGCCTGTGGAGGCTCCTCGAGGATATGGGCTGAGAAGCATGGGCCTGCCTGCCTTAAAAAGTGGCTTCTGCTCCAAGGTAGCCCCAGAAAGACAATTCCCCCCACTGCTCAGGGTCCTCAGGCAGTGCTTAACTCAGCTCAGGACCTTCCCCCCACATTTAGGAAGGAGCCACAGTAAATTGTGATGCTGTACGTGTGGCGGTCCCACTGCTGGAAGGCTTGTGAGGCGCTCAGGATTCAGTGCTGTGATTTTATAGGTAGTTTAACTCTTACACTGCTCTGGGGTGGCTTTTCCCAGGGCAAAACTTTTGGCATATGGGCGGGAGCACTGTGGAAGGGTTTCTGGGCTCGCTGCCCCTCAGACAGCCTCAGAGCTTCCTCCGCTTCAAATTCATCAGGTTGTGCCATGGGACTGTGGATGAGAAAGGGTTTGTCGTAGCCAGGCAGGAGGCAGACACTCGAATCAGGTCGAGGTGCATTCCTGGGGTGACGGGTGTGCCTCCCGCAGCATGGGGGAGAGAGGGATTCGGGATTGAGCTTGTTGGGTGAGGACGGATCTGCTGAGCTGCAGTAGCTGGAAGGATGGCCTTCCCCTCCGTCCTCACCTCGCTGCTGTGTAAGCAAAATGGTGCACGTTGCAGTGTTGAAACCCTGTGTAAAGCCGTTTCTGCTCAAGTCTGAATTAAACACTTTGGTCATCTCCCCCTAGGCTAGCAACCAGCACTAGTTTTGTTGTGTAGAGAGACAACTGGGAAGGAAGTGCTGCTTTGGGTAGGATTTGGATGGGTCAAACCCTAGCTTGAAATCAATCACCAAGGACTAATCTTGAATTTGTGGCTGCCTATCAGGTCGTAAAGGTAAATATCCAAGCACTGTGCCCCAGAAGAGCTGGGCTTTTACCAAATTCCTTCCTCAAGACATAACTTGACCCACATATTACATGCTTTTCTGCTGAGGGGGAGTGGTTTCTATCGAGGAAAGACAGTCCTGAGGAAACTGGATGAGTTACCCGGTTTTGATGCGCTTGACTTTCCTCCCACCACAGAGCTCGTCAGCCTTGTGGCAGCTTTGATGTGTGTCGTTATGCCTGACCACGCCGACGTCAGACTCCCGCCGGAGGAGCGGGTACGAAGACTGATCCAGGTGGGAAGCGCCGTGGAAGTGAATGAGGATATCCCACCACGACGCTACTACCGCTCCGGAGTGGAAATCCTCCGCATGGCGACGGTTTACTCAGAGGAAGGCAATATTGAGCATGCCTTTATTTTGTACAACAAATATATCACGTAAGAGCAACATTGCTTCATGTGCTTTGCAAGTAACCTCTGTCGATACAAGGGGTTGTGGGATTGGTGTTGCATATTTTGAGTGTGTCAGAACACCGCGAGGCCTTGCTGAGCTGGATGAACTGGGTTCTGTCCACAGCTCTGCTCCTTTTGATTTTTTTGATTCTGACAGGGGTGAGGATACAGCTGGTTAAACTGACCAGGAGGTGTCATAAAGGTGTGAGGCACAAACCCACAAATGCTGCTCACCTCTTCGCAGGAGGTTTGTAAAAGTTCCCTTCGAAACCAGGCTGAGCTTGTTTCCCTCTGCTAGTGGAGACTTCTGTCAGCCGGAGGGAGGTTTTGTCTCCCTGTATGTCAGAGCTTCCCGGTGTTTTATCACTGCAGAGTGGCTCGATTGGCCTCGATTGTTGCTAGGTTGGCCATGACATCATACAGATTGGCAAGGATCTGTGGTCGAGGATCTCAGTATCAGGTATCTACCTGGAAAGTATCTAGGCTGGTTGGTGGTTTCTCTAATAAACTGCCTTTGGAGGAGAAGCCTACTTTACACTTAAGTTACTACAGCCTTTTACAGCAGGCAGTGAGTTCCTTCTTCAGGTGCAGGGACTGGGGCCGGTTGTAGGTTTCAGAAAGATTATAATCCCTCCCCCTCACCCAACAGACACATGTGCACTCAAGCCCTCCTGAGGAGGGACGGGGGGGAAGAGTTCTGGGTCCAAAAAACCTGATCCCAATCAACTGGTGGATTTCTTGGGTACTGAGCACCCTTCTAGAAAGCCCCAGGTCATCTATAAAGCCAGCCCACACCTTGTTTGGTGCTTCAGCACTGGCTCTCGTGCTGTAGGGTCTACATTCTGTGTAGAAGAGTGCAGAGCCACATATTCTTGCCATCAGCTCCACAGCTGCCCAGAAATGAGCCATCTTGGGTCTGAAACCCCGCTGCCACGCTGGGGCATACGCTGTGGTGACGTGGTGTCAGATCTGGATCATGTCTGACCAGCCCAGTATATGAGCAGAGCAAACACATGCCTCTCTGTAGCTGTGCTTGTCGGTGTTTAAAGGGCTGAAAACTGTGATCCTTGGAAAATATCCCAATGGTGCGGAGCGTCCTGTTCCTGTAGGTTTTTTTGGCCAAAAGCCTGCCTGTCCCTTCTTCACCCGGTGCCACTCTGGTATGGTCTCTGCTGTGCCCACACAACCCACTTATCCTGAATGTGGTTGGTATCTCTGTGGGCATTTTCTCTCCCAGTCCCCATGTGCAGGGTTTCTGCCCCCTAAATCCAACACATTTTTCTCTGATTAGCTTTTCTTCCTGCCTTGCACTTCCTGAGCTTTTATGGGCATTGTAGCGAGTGTCCTGGGAGGCTGCACAGGGAGCTGGGAAGTGTAAAACCCTCGGGAACATTTCCAGGCTGGTTATGTAGCCAGGGCTGAGGGAGAAACTCTAACTAAACAAATGAACTAAAAGAACCTTTGCTGTTTCCTTATAGCAATGATAGGTGCTGGTGTGTTTTCTCTCAAACAGCTTTCAAATGCTTGTGGCGTTTACATTAACCTGGCTGCTGGGCTGCCAGGAAGGTGAAAAAACCTTCCCTTGGTGTGATTTCTTCAATGTCACCATCTTATTTCTTTAAATGAAGATGTGAATATTGATGAATTGTTTTCTAGATGTCCTTCCCTAAGGGTGTGATCCAGAAGGCAAGAGCAGGCCACTGGTAACTGCTGCCTCTCATGGGACTTGTTCTGCTCTCCCCTTTCTAGAAACAGAACCATAATTCTTCCCCCAGTGCTTCAGCCCACATCTGCAGTCGGTGCTGGGGCTGTCCTTTCCCAGAGCCCAGGTCCCTGCCAGGGTGTATGGCCTAGTGCAGGCACTTTCCCCCTCAAGCTGCACCTTCAGGAAGGGGAGAGCTCCATCCCTGAGAAATACGTGAGAGGCTCTTGGCTTGTGTGTTGGCTTGGCTTGTGAGGTGGGAGTGGGCACATCATCCCTGGGAGTGAGCTGTGGTCTCTGTGGCTTTAGGAAGCTGGATTTCTCTTTAGTTCCCTATACAGCACTCCCAAGGCTGATCTCAAGGCCTGAATTACATGATGAGATCCATGTTGTGGTGCCTGGTTTGGAGAGCCGTTGGTTTTGAGACAATCTTGTCTAGATATGGGGTAATTGCAAGACAGATCTGTACGGAGGTTCCCACTGATGCTGCCAGGTTCCTTACTTGGCCACCAGCCACCTGCTCGATCTCGTGCTGGCCATTTGGCTGCAAAGCACCTCTTTTTCCCATGTCGAAACGAAGCTTCTTGCCCAGCCCTCAGGGGGGCAGGAGTGTGGCATGGCTATCTCTAAGAATAACCAGGCTGGACTTTTAACACGTGTCTTGTCACCTTGTAAGACATCTGCTTGTTGGTCATCTTGAACAGCTGCTTCTGCATTGATCTGAGTGGATATTTTCCTCGAATTGCAATCAGGCACACTAGGTTTGATTTTGCTGGAGCCAAATAAAAAAGGAAAAAAAAAAAAAAGACATGAATTTTCTGTGGTGTTTGGGCTCCTGGTTTGCCTTCGTGGCTGTGAGCTGCTAGGATTGGCTGCAGGGGTTTGCGTGGGGTGTTGTAAGGGACTCGAGAGATGCCAGCTTGGCGTGCGTGCTGT